TCCTGGTCCTTAATCTGCTCCACAACAAAGCTCACCTTGGCTCCCCTTTCTCTCAGCCCCCGTGGCATCAGCGCGGGGGTCAAGTGGCTGGCAAACAGGCGAGGGGAGGGCCGAGATACATAATCGGGTCGGCCGTCAGGATATTCCAGCCACGGCATCTTGTCCAGGTTGGTAGTGTAGGCGTCGCCCGCGCCGGACTCCTCCATGAGCAGCGTGATGATCTGCTGGGTCCATACGGTGCCTGAGGGAGAAAGAGACAGTTTGCGGGTTTAAGTTAAATGACATTAGCTGTCACATAAAAACAAAATAGCTTCTATTATTATTATTATTATTATTGGGGACAGTATATGGCTCTGCAGATGTGACAGGAAGGTCGTTTTTTCAAATCCCATAATCTACTGTGTGATTTGCCCTAAACCCCAAACGCTCCTGGGGACAGACTGGCCGCGCTTCCATAACTCTATATTGCTTTGGATAAAAGTGTCCACTAGATGAATAAAGTGTTAATGTAATTATGGTCAGTAAGCAGTGAGTGTTTATCTACAACTCAGAATCCATCATCATGCTTTAAGTACCATTACAGCGCAGTTTCACAACATCCAGCTTTTACAGATGCATCCTGTTCGACGTCTGTATCAAAAATCATCAAAATCATTTCATATGATCCTGATTACAAAGAAAATCTGTAGTTATCACTCACCTGACTTGGGGTAAGTGACAAGAAAAATGTCACTGTCCCGTATTTCAAAGGTCTGCAGGGAATCGATGTACTCTGGGGTGGTCAGTCCTGTTACGAACACATAACCTTTATATCTGCACAAGTAAGGAGTCACGGGCTCCATGGAGACCTCACACTGCAACAGCAGCAAAAGTACGCGAGTAAGACACAGCGGAGAGAAATCTGCAATGAAAAGCAAAGGCCGGAATATAACCACAGCATAACTCTCAGTAAACTGGACTTTGTATCCTTTTTATGATTAGTCATCTCTAGGCGGATTGTTTGGCCAACCTTACAGGGCCAGAACAGGCATTAGACAGAAAATTTGAAAAAAGTTAGACAGCAGTTATTATGCAATTGTGCCACCTACTGGACAGGGGTGTGAATTTCTTAAAGTACTTAAGTTATTACAGCAGCTTACCCACAGTAATATGTCAAAATTATATACGGCTTTCAGATTGTTCCGTCATTATTACAAATTTTCGGTCAATGATGGAAAGTATTTGGTTAACGTGACATCTGGCCTTGGTGCACAGTGACAGCGTCATGGTTTCAGTCGCCTGTAGGATTTACAGAAATGCAAAGACATCCCACATAGCAGCTGATTCTGGGTCAGATCCGCCTGCATCTCCAATGACATTCGGGCAGGAGAGTCTGCACCAGAATCAGTCCAGAGTTCTGAATGAGTACAGTTGGTCTGTATACATAAACCCAATCAGCCAGTCGTTTTTTTATAAGACAATGTCCCTCACCACACTGCAAAATGGCTGAAGAAATTCCTCAAAGCTGAGGACACTAGAGTGGTGAAATGGCCGACCCAGAATCTGCACAGATTTAGCTTGGAGGCAAACTCACCTGTATGGGAGGCCTGCCACCTGTCAACACCCCTTACTACTTATGTCACTTCACGGGCTGACCAGCAGTGTTACAGAGTGAGGATGTCTGCATGCAGCCTTTGTAGGTATTTATCCCACCTAAATGAAATTCCTGACAACTGTCAGTCAGCACGGGAACATTATGTTTGGCGCAAACCAAATGATGTTTCTGTACCAGAAAATCTTTCAGGAGAACATCCGGAGCAGATCGGTGGAGTAGCAAGATGACGACTGACAAGAAATGAGCAAGTCGGCTCCATAAAGGTGGAAGCACGCTTCAGATATCGTCCAAACAAAACGAAATCGAATGAAGAGATCAAGACAAACCCCGAGTGTCCCTGAGTTGGATTTCTGCATGAAGTCAACGGGCCAGAACGACTCCAGGGTGTAATGAGAGACTAATCATTAACGACAGCAGGTGTTTAAAGTCTACTAAAAGTAAGGCGACAAGTTACTGACTGTAATGTGGCAATTATTTTTACATTACTTTTCCCCACAGAGGCTCTGGATATCAAATTCTTTGTGTTACTAAAAAGCATGAAAATTACTTGTTGTTTGTTTACTCAGGTCTCCTTTGGTCTAAAATTAATGCTGCAAAGATTTGATGACAGTCACTGCAAAAATGTGCAAAGAGGTTGTGCTGCCTGAAGGGGGTGTCAGGCTGCACAGGGGACGTCCTGTGTGACATCATCATGGGGTATTTAAGGCTTAAATCAACAGGAACAGGCATAATAGCTTTTTCTATTCAATTTACAATTTATTGCTTTTAATTAACATCTTCCCCTTAACACAACATGACATTTTAAATGTGAAGGTTAAAAAGACAGACATTTTACCCCTGAATGTAATCAGACAACATGCATATATCGCATTATATATCATACCATAAAAGTATAAATGATAATCATACGCGATGGAAATTCGTAGACATTATATGCTGCTTAAATATAATTCCTGGCTGAGTTTTTTTCCAAAGAAAACCAATCAAAAGTTTTAAGATACACAAACTAAAAGCATTATAGGTATATCTCTGCAAAGCAATACCTGAGCAATTTAAGCAATCAAACAAGCTACAGTTGCACTGATGTGATATTTGCACTTGTGGATTTCTGTGAGCTTTGATTCTGTGAGCCTGGCCACTGTCCTCTGACCAGACTAATATGGTGTTTTCAGTCACAGAAAATTCCACTGACTGGATGTTTTTAAAAACA